TTTTAATCCCCTTTTCCCATTTTCTTGGAACTGGATAAAGCACCACATCAGAGGTTTGCAGTGGTCATTCTTTCTTTCCTGGACCACAGATAAAACTGAGTGAAAGGAGACATCCAGCCAGGTGGGGCGGGTCTGTGACTTTCCCTCTCAATTCTTCCTAATTCAGAAGTGACTTATAATACCTGCTACGACATGGATGAACCTTGAAAACATCAGCCTACGTGAACGAAGCAAGACACAGAAGACCACGTGCTGTGTGATTCCATTTCTATGAAATGTCCAAAATAGGCAAATCCATAGAGACAGAAAACAGATCAGTGGTTGCCAGGGGCTGGGGCAGAGGGGTGGCAGAGAGGAGATGGAGCTGCTTAATGGGTACACAGTGCTTCTGGGATGATGAAAATGTTCTGGAACTAGATTATGGTGATGGTTGTACAGCACTGTGAATGCACAAAATGTCACCAGATTGTGCACTTTAAAATTTGCAGATACAAACTACTATATATAAAATAGATAAACAGGAAGGTCCTACTTCGTAGCACAAAGGAACTATATTCAACATCTTATAATAGCATAATGAAAAAAATATGGAAAGGAATATATATATATATCTGAATCACTATGCTGTACACCAGAAATTAATTCATTATAAACTGACTATACTTCAATTAAAAAAATAAATAAAATGGTTAAAATGATGTTATGTGAATTTTACTCAATTTGAAAAGTATTCTGATTTTCAGATCTAACTTAATATTTTCTGTTGCCTTCTTTTCCTCCCATATTTCCGTTCTGTCTCCTACCCATCCTTCCTAAAGCTATAACATCAATAACAGCAGAAATTGAATGCAGCTCAATGCAACTTTACGGCAATTGATTGTCTGCCGAATCAATGGAAAATCTGAAAGGGGAGATCATACACTCTTGAGTCCGGTCTTAGGGGAGACTGGGCTTCCACTTGGAGCAGACATGGAACTGTAAGTTCCTGGATGGGAGGTTAATAAACAAAGACTAAAAGAAACACATCTGGGTCCTTTCAACTCATCTCCGCCACGTACATATTGGTGTTACTTGATCATTTAAAAAAATCTTCTTACCTCCCGGAACTGGGTTTTGTGGCAAATCAGACTTCGAGAGTGAAGAAGGACAGAGTCACCAGAGGGCAGAAAAGGAGCTGAGGTTGGAGTGTGACAGTCACACTGATCCCTAGAGAACCAGCCCATCCCTGTCACTGACTCGGTGCCAAGCACGTAGGTGGAAAGGCATGAGGCTGGAAGAAAATGGACTGAAAGACACTTGCTTTAAATTCCTGTCCTCCCTTCCTGCCTGAGCCATGCTTTCTTTGCAGTGAGAGGGTTTGGCATCTCTGCCTGAGCTGGGAGATAAAGGGCATGGCTGTCACTTCATGAAGAGGTGTATATCCTCAACCTAGGCCCCAGTCTGTTCTGTGAACTGGTTTCTGGGCATCTCAGGATATAAAGTTGGCAAATGGTCCAGCATGACAAAAAGCCAACACCATTTGGTGTTTTGATTACTGAGTCCTACATCCTAGCTGTGTTTTGAAGAAGATTTGAAGAGAATCAAGCCAGGTGGCTGCCAGGTCCTAAGGCAGAGGTGCTGGAGCTGGCTTGGCTTCCAAGAGTTAACTGTTAAATTTTCAGGAATTTTTCAAGCCTTTTCTTAAACAAAACCATTATTAAAAAAAAATTATATTGCAATGGTTACTAGAGCTGAAAGAGCCCTCCTTTAAATGGTTATAATTTGTGTAAAGATAATAAATAGTAAGTAAGCTGTAGACTGCATAACAGATAAGATGACAATGAATTTATTGGGCAAAGATTTAGCAGATTGGGCTGCGACTCTATTTGTCATGTCATGGTTGAACTGCACTCATAGGTTGGCTCTGGGTATATGGATTCTGCCAAAATCCACAAAAGCCTTTTGTGAAGGTCAGTTGGCTATGTGGAATTTACAGTAAAATGTGCTGCATATTTTATTGTTATTTGTAATTGTACCCCACTCTCCTTTTATATCAGGAAAATCCATAATAAACTCATAAACTTTTTCCCCCCAAGACAGTTGTTAACATTACCAGCACACCACTACCCAAGGTCAATAACCTCCGGAGACCTGCACCAAGTCATTTATTTGTTCATTTTCTCAACAGTAAAATGAAAGAAAGAGAGAGAAAGAGAGAAAGAAAGAAAGAAAGAGAAGTGAAGGAAGAGGAAAGAGAGGAGAGAAAGAGAGAAAGTGAGTTCCAGATAATCTTACTTCTAACATTTCAAATTTTAAAGTAGTAAAGAAAATTCTAGACATGAAAAACACAGGACTCTCTCCTTACACAGGTAGAGCAGATGACCTCCTATCTGATATGATTTGAGAAGTACCCCAAAGCTTACCCACCCAGAAATATCTGTTCCTTTGGCTTGTCTGAACCTGTTTCTTGAAATTCACAGGATTCAAGCATCCTTCCTTTGGGTAAGCCTTGTCTCCTAGAGCTTTCTCTTGTCTCCAGTATCACTTATTAGCACTTTAGCCTCCATTTGTGTATAAATAACTAGATATGACCTTGAAGAGCACTAAAGTTCTCCCTAGGGAAATGAGACATAACTGAAATTTCTGATGTGGGAAGGGAGCTTGGAAAAGTCCAGGCTTTGGACCTTCCTTGACAGTCCAGGCCGCCAAGTGGGGGATCTCAGGCAGCCTTGGCCGTGAGCACTGAAGGCACTGTTGGTGAGCACAAGGGCTTCCTGAAGGCAGATGGAAGCTCTCTGGCGGCTTCTACACCTGTAGACCAACCTGATGTGGATCCTGGGACTGAGCTTGTACATCAGACCCACACGAGAAATAAGGATGTTCAAGTGAACCCTGATGTAAATTGTGGACTTTGGGGGATGATGATGTGTCAACATAAGTTCATCAGTTGTAACAAATGTACCATTCTAGTGGGGAACGTTGACAGTGGGGAGACTGTGTATATGCAGGAGGGCAGAGGGTATGTGGGAACTCTCTGTACTTTCTGCTCAGTTTTGCTGTAAATTGCTCTGAAAACTGAAATCTATTAAAAAGAAATAAGAGTGAGGATCATGCGTTTACCCTGTTAATAGTTCTAGTCTGCAGCTGCCTGTCCAGATAGCTCCTTTCCCTGCTCTAGAGGAAAACGTGTACAGTGTACAGTCAGGTTGGTAGATACTTCTGGCCCTTTAGGCAGGATGAGGCCTGAGACCCCTTGCACAGACTGGAACAACAGAACACAAAGAAACCATAAAGGGCTAAAAATCACTGCAGACATGCGCAGTTGGGCTGAGTTATGGACAACAAGATGCATGAAACACCCAACCGCTATTTCTGAGGTGCTGGGAGCGAAACAAAACGGATGGTCAGATCACCTGAGATGCCCCCCTCCTTTCCAGCCCAATCCTGGTCAGCAAAAGCGTGAGAAACACCCTTTAAATCATTATACCGTTAAGCAGTTACAAATACCATATGGTCACCGATGACCACAGGATCCTCCTCAGTTACACAACCACCCCTCCTGCTCTGGCGTCTCCCACCCGGAGAAATTCACTGATGAAAAAGGGCAGGGAGGAATGTCAGCTCAGTCCCTCTTTGCAAGGCTGCTTGTCTTTGACCTTGTTTTCCTAAGCAAAACTCAGGACATGTGGTCTGAAAAGGGATTTCTGTGCTGCTTCCAGGGGCATGAGTCGGTTGGGGAGAAGCATGGTTTAGAAACACGGATGTTGGAATTTCTGGCACATTTTAAGAACAGCAAGGGAGAACAGCAGTTTTGGAGTTAAATGGAAATGATTAAAAATTATATCTTCGCTGCTTAAAAGCTGCAGGGTCTTCAGCAAATTATTTTAGTGTGACATAGCTTTCTCTCCTGTAAAAGGGAGTCATAATACCTATCTCATGGAGTTGTTCCGAATGTTGCGATAACACGTATGTAAAGGAGGAAAAGGAAAATATCACTGTAAGATGCCACAGTTGCTTTCTAAGAGACCGGGATCCTCTTGTTATTCTGGGTTTCTTCACAGGTCTTCTGGCTTTTCTTAGTAAAGGAACAAGAATTTGGTTTTTCTGTAAATACTCCAGGAGAGGTGCCCTGGGGAATGGGATGGAAACCCGGAAAGAAAATAGGAAACAGTGAGACGGTGTGAGGCTGGAGGAGGAAGTTCTAAACTCAGGGGCTCGAATTCTAGATAGACCAGGGTTCAAATCCGCCCACTGCCACTTACTAACTTCGAGCTTTGGGCAAGTTGTTTGCCTTCACTTGGTTCAATTTCCTCATATAAAAAATTGGGATCATCATCCTTCCCTCTCAGAGCTGTTGG